GCAATGGGGAAAGGGGATGACATTTGTAGTGTAAATAAAGAAAATATCCATTAAAAGTAAAAAAAAAATGAATATTGGAAAAAACAAAAACCTACCACAACAACAACAACAAAAAAAACTGTCACTAACATTTGATGTTCATTCCTGGAATACAGCTTTTAGTTGTTGGGAAATTTTTCTTCAAATATGGTTTGTTCACTCTATGATACTCTGTAAAAGTCATTTAAATGCAAAAGTTCTACAGAGAAATTTAAAAGAAAGGATCAATTTGTATTCTTCTATATGTTGACTGCTAGTTGAACTAGCACTATTTGTTGGATGGTTTTTAGCTCCTTTATCAAAGATAAATTGTCAATAGGTGTGTGGTTTCATTTCTGGGTCTTAAATTCTATTCCATTAACCTTTCTGCCTGTCACTGTACCAGTGTCATGCAGTTTTTATCACTATTACTTTGTAGTACAGCTTGAGGTCAGGAATGGTAATTCCCTTAGAAGTTCTTTTATTGCTGAGAATAGTTTTCATTATCCTGGGATTTTTATTATTCCAAATGAATTTGAGGATTGCTCTTTCTAACCCTATGAGGAATTGAGTTGGAATTTTGATGGGGATTGCATTGACTCTGTAGATAGCTTTTAACAAGATGACTACTATTATTATATTGATCCTGCCAATTCATGAGTATGAGAGATCTTTCCATGTTCTGAGATCTTCTTCGATTTCTTTTTTTTTTTCAGAGACTTGAGGATCTTCTTGTACAGATCTTTCACTTGTTTAGTTAGTGACACCAAGATATTTTATATTGTTTGTGACTTTTGTGAAGGGTGTCATCTCCATAATTTCAGTCTCACCCTGTTTACTAGTCACCTAGGCTACTTATTTGTTTGAGTTAATTTTATATCCAGCCACATTACTGAAGTTGGTTGAACTCTTTAGGAGTTCTCTGGTGGAATTTTTAGGCTCACAAAGTAAACTATCTTATCTTCTGCAAATTGTGATATTTTGACTTCTTCCTTTCCAATTTGTATCCCTTTGATCTCCTTTTGTTGTCTATCTAGAACTTCAAGTACTGTATTGAATAGATAGGGAGACAGGGGCCAGTCTTGTCTAGTTCTTGATTTTAGTGGGATTTGTTCAAGCTTCTCTCCATTTAGTTGTTGTTAGCTACTGGTTTGCTGTATATTGCTTTTAATATGTTTAGGTATGGGTCTTGAATTCCCGATCTTTCCAAGCTTTTTACATGAAGCGATGTTGAATTTTCTCAAATGCCTTTTCAGCATCTAATGAAATGATCATGTGAGTTTTTTAAAAATTTGTTTACATAGTGGATTACATTAATGGATTTCCATATATTAAACCATCCCTGAATCCCTAGGATGAAGCCACCTTGATTATGGTGAATGATCTTTTTTGTGTGTCCTTGGTTCAGTTTACGAGAATTTTATTGGGTATTTTTGCAACAATATACATAAGGGAAATTGGTCTGAAGTTTTCTTTCTTTGTTGGGTCTTTGTGTTGTTTTGGTAATAGTGTAACTGTAGTTTAATAGAGTGAATTGGGTAGTGTTTCTTCTGTTTCTACTTTGAGGAATAGTTTGAAGAGTATTGGTATTAGGTCTTCTTTGAAGGTATGATAGACTTCTACACTCAATCCATTCAGTTCTGAGTACTTTTAAGTTGGGAGACTTTTAATGACTACTTCTGTTTCTTTTGGGGTTATGGGACTGTTTAGATCGTTTATCTGATCCTGATTTATCTTTGGTACCTGGTATCTGTCTAGAAAATGTTCTGTTTCATCCAGATTTTCCAGTTGTGTTGAGTATAGCCTTTTTTAGTTGGATCTGAAAATTTTTAGAATTTCCTCAGTTTTTGTTGTTATATCTCTCTTTTCATTTCTGATTTTCCTAATTTGGGTACTGTCTCTGTGCCCTCTGGTTAGTCTGGCCTAAGGTTTAAAGAACCAGCTCCTGTTTTTTTTTTTTTTTTTTTTTTTTTTTTGATTCTTTGTATAGCTCTTTTTTGTTTCTACTTGGTTGATTTCAGCCCTGAGTTTGATTATATCCTGCCTTCTACTCCTGTTGGGTGTATTTGCTTCTTTTTGTTCTAGAGGTTTCAGGTATGCTGTTAAGTTGCTAGTGTATGCTCTCTCTAGTTTCTTTTTGTAGGCACTTAGAGGTATGAATTTTCCTCTTAGCACTGTTTTCATTGTGACCCATAAGTTTGTGTATGTTGTGCCTTCATTGCCATTAAATTCTAAAAATATCTTTAATTTCTTTATTTCTTCCCTGACCAAGTTATCATCGAGAAACTTGTTGTCCAGCTTCCATGTATATGTGGGCTTTCTGTTGTTTTTGTTGCTATTGAAGACCTGTGGTGATCTGGGTGCATGGAATTATTTCAATCTTCTTGTATTTGTTGAGGCCTGTTTTGTTACCGATTATACAATCAATTTTTGGGAAAATACCATGAGATACTGAGAAGGTATATTCTTTATTTTTAGGATAAAATACTCTATAAATATCTGTCGGACACTGCTCGAGCCTAGGGATCACAGGCGGCCGTGCTGGCGTGAGCAGAAGCGGGCGGAGACACAGGTCGGTGGGCAGCAGAGACGCCGGGCATGCAGGACACGGGTCGGCGTGGGTGGCCACGGGAACAAGTGGGGGTGGAGATGTCCTGGGTGCCGGCTGCAAGGCCATCTCAGACCCGCGATAGAGTGCAGAGAGTGACGGGGTGGGCGGCTGCACGGCTAGCTTGAGTCCCTCCCTTGCCCTGCACGGACAGGGGCACACAAGATTTTGACTTACTCGAATCCAGAATTCACGAGACATGTGGAGATTTGAGACGTGTTGATTTATTAACAGATGACGGGGGGGGTTTGGGTGGTGAATGGTAAAGGGCTCTCCTGAAACATGTCGGAAGGTGTTCATTTTTATATTGGAAGCGGGCGGGGCTTCAGGTAACACGTAAATTTTAAGGCAGAGACCTGTTAGCCTCGTGATCTAGCGAGGGCTCTATGTTAGGTCTCTGGATTTTGGGGGCATGGCCAAATTACAGTCCCATATCCCACCCTTTATTCTTTCATAAAAAGGGGGGCATCTCTGAAGGTGGAGTCATGTGACAAGTGACTCTCATGTGAGTCTTTCCGTGGGAGGGATTATGGAAGCTGAAGCTGAGAGAGTCAGAATGTTTGGGAAGGCCCGAAGCACCTACTGTGTGATGCTAGTCTCAGAGACTAGCACAAGGGGCTTCTAGGGCCTTATCACCAGGCTTTCTGGCCTCTACAGCTCACTGTCTCACAATTCTCTCTCTTAGGAGTGGTGTCACCTGTGATGACAATTTTGTATGAGGAAGTCAAAAGAAAACATCACACAGGTCAGGGGTGTAGCATAACCAAACCAAGGGTAATGGAAATTGAAGGTTGAGGTTGGGAAAGCAAGGAGTCATTGAATCAATTAAATGCATATTGTACAATTTGAGAGTAATGACATCTGATTAATCTAAATAGACATTATAATTTCTTCACTAACACGTCACTTCAGCTATGTGACTTTGGCAAGAGTTCATCTATAGTTGGTATCGAGTATCTCTGGGTATTCAGTCAGACTTGAGATGACTGGGAGAAGGCAGTTTGCCAGATTTCAGGAGATGGCGCTGTCTAGTCATCAGCTCATCTCTGGAGTCTGCAGTTTGACAAGATGTAGGCAGCTTGTCTCTGCTGGCTCTGTGGATATAATCACAGGGAAGCAGCATCTCCAGCAGGGAGATGTCTGGAAATCCTGGATATTAAGTATGAAGTTGCTCCTGGAAAGCCAAAGGTGTCTGAGGAAGTTGGATGGCTGAAGGAGAAAACATTGTGTAAATAACATCTGGGGTAGACATCGACAGTTTGTCTGTGAAGGAAAATTAGTTGTTAATTAAAAGCTGAAATGTCGTGGTGATCAGCATGTTGATTTAACCTGTGGAAGTAAATTTAGATGACTTTCAAACCTTGAAGAAGAAAATTTTTTTTAAAGAGTTGAAGAAAGTGTTGGACATATATCACCAGTATTAGAGAGAAAAGGAAATATTTAAACAAAAAGCGAAAAATTTTGGGTGAAAAGCACGAACACTGTTGTTGTAGGTAACCCTGTTTGGGAGAAAATTATTAATGAAGGGTTTAAAATCAGTGGGGGAGGGGGCTTGTTAGAAGCCAGGGCATTGCTCTCTTTGTTTTTTTTAAAGAAAAGAAAGGCTAAATTTTAAAGTGAGAAACATAGAAGTTTGATAACAGAGTCAGAAGGAGTGACAGGCTATGTAAAGCTCAGCCATGGTGGGGAAGACACCTAGAGGCTAGCACCTAGAGTCAGCAGTTCGCTGTTCTCAGAGGGGGAGAGGACAGGCAGCAGCAGTTTCTCTAGGCTCAGCCTGAAATTTTTAGTTGTGAGAAAGAAACTGTAAGGTAAACAGAGGCGAAAGGGCGCAGATTGAGTCTCAGACCCTCTGCTATCAGGCAAGACAGCTGGGCTATAGCGGGCCGCAAATGACTTAGAAGGTGAAGTGGGGGAGGGGGCAAACAGGGAGCCAGCCCTGTAGTTATAGGCGATTCAGCTGGGCTGTAACCAGCCGGCCGCAAATGGCAGGGGAGTGGGGGAATTTTATCTCGAAAAGTTAAACCCTGGGGGAGGGGCAAACCTCTTGGCAGGCAGAGCATGGGAGATTTCTTTTGGGGAGGGGTAAAGAATGGCGATTAAGGAGTCTCTGCCATTTTGTGGAGAACAAGTGGAAAGAGAAGCTTAGTTTTTTTGAATTAGGCAGAAGTTAGATTGTAGTTAAGAATTAGAGAAAAGCGAGAAGGAGAGAGAGTGGGGGTGGAGATGGATGGACAGAGATGTAACTCACAGTTTTTGTAGGTGCCAGCAGGGAGAGTTTCTGAGCTGGATTTGTGTACCTGTCCACAACTAACCAGGGGGGGATGGTGTCCCGTGTGTGTTGGAAGCGCGCGGGCGTGGAGTTGCCTGTGTTTCTTGTCTGGAGCAGATGTTTCAGGATGGTGGAGATTGTCGTAGAAGCGGGCGCAGAAAGCTTGGTGTTTGGATAGGAATGAACTAGTCAGATCTCAGCGGGCGTAGGCGTAAGACTCTTGAATCTGCTCTGGGCTTCAGACATCTCAGGGAGTTGAGTGCACAGCAGGGCAGTTTATGGGGGTGGGTGACTGAGCTTGGACAGCCAGTGCGCCGAAATTGGCCTCTATTTTGAGTGTCTGTGGACACATAGCAAAATAGAGGTAAGGGAGCGCACACAGGGTGTGCGCTGGGAAAACAGGAGTCTAAACGTTGTCCCATTGGAAGTGATTTTTTTCATTCTTGGAGTTCACGCCACATTGGTCACCAGATGTCGGATACTGCTTGTGCCTAGGGATCACAGGTGGCCGTGCTGGCACGAGCAGAAGCAGGCAGAGACACAGGTTGGCGGGCGGCAGTGAGCTAGGCATGCAGGAAGCGGGTCGGTGTGGGCTCCAAGGCCATCTTGGGACTTGCGATAGGGTGCAGAGAGTGCTGGGGCAGGCAGCTGCATGGCTAGCTTGAGTCCCTCTCCTGCCCCGCGTGGACAGGGGCGCACAAGATTTTGACTTACTCGAATCCAGAATTCACGAGACATGTGGAGATTTGAGAAGTGTTGATTTATTAACAAATGACCGGGGGGGGGGGGGTTGGGGGGTGAATGGTAAAGGGCTCTCCTGAAACATATTCCAAGCGGGCGGGGCTTCAGGTAACACGTAAATTTTAAGGCAGAGACCTGTTAGCCTTGTGACCTAGCGAGGGCTCTATGTTAGGTCTCTGGGTTTTGGGGGCGTGGCCAAATACAGTCCCACAAATATCTTTTAAATCCATTTGGTCCATAACTTCTGTTAGTTTTATTGTGTCTCTGTTTAGTTTGTGGTTCCATGATTGGACTGTTGATGCAAGTGGTTTACTAAAGTCTCCCACTATTATTGTGTAAGGCTCAATGTGTACTTTGCTCTCTAGTAAAGTTTCTTTTATGAATGTGGGTGCCCTTTCATTTGGAGCATAGAAATTCAAAATTGAGAGTTCTTCTTTGAAGACTTTTTTCTTTGATGTGCATGAAGTGTCCTTCTGCATCCTTTTTGATAACTTTTGGTTGAAAGTTGATTTTATTCGATATTAGAATGGCTACTCCAGCTTGTTTCTTGGGACCATTTGCTTGGAAAGTTGTTTTCCAGCCTTTTACTCTGAGGTATTGGTCTGTCTTTGTCACTAAGGTGCATTTCCTGTATGTAGCAAAATGCTGGATCTTGTTTATGTATCCAGTCTGTTAGGCTGTGTGTTTTTGTTGGGGAATTGAGTCTATTGAAGTTAAGAGATATTAAGGAGTAATGGTTGTTGCTTCCTGTTATTTTTGATGTTCTTTTTATGTTTGTGTGACTATCTTCTTTTAGATTTCCTGAAAGAAGTTTACTTTATTGCTTTTTCTAGGATATAATTTCCCTCTTTGCTTTGGCATTTACCATCTATTATGCTTTGTAGGACTGGGTTTGTGGAAAGACATTCTGTAAATTTGTTTTTTATAGCCATTGTTTCTTAGTATCTTATAAGTTCTAGCATGAGTAACATGACATTTGCCCAAAGGAATAAAAAGTCAGCTTGATCTTAACAAGTTCTGTGGAGATTTGAAGGCAAGAAGCCAGATACTTTGGGACCCAACACTTACCTGAACAAATGGATCACCCAGAATGACCGTCTACAGGACACAACTGCAACATGAGAAATGACCAGTTAAAAAGGTAAATGTCAGCACTAATGCATTTATGACAAATGTGATATAGTCATGAAAAAATGGGTAAAGAATTGAATGACTCTCTACACCTCCCAAGGCTGATTCTGTTCCCCAGAATCAGCCTTCATCCAATCCTTCATCCAATAGAGCTCTAATATCAAATATATTCAAAGATCTCAAGAAGGTAGACACCAAAGAACCAAATAACCCTCTTAAAAAACGGAGTACAGAGCTAAACAGAGAATTCTCAACTGAGGATAATGGAATGGCTTAGAAGCACCTAAAAAATGTTCAATATCCTTAGGCATCAGGAAAATGCAAATCAAAACAACCCTGAGTTTCCACCTCACAGCAATCCAAATGGCTAAGATCAAAAACTCAGCTGACAGCAGATGCTGGCTAGGATTTCAAGAAAGAGGAACACTCCTCCATTGTTAGTGGGATTTCAAACTGTTATATGTACTCTGAAAGTCATTCTGGTGGTTCATTTCAAAATTGTATATAGTATTACGTAAGGACTCAGCTATACCACTCCAGAGTAAATACTCAAAAGATGCTCCAACAAGGACACATGTTCCACTATCTTCATAGCAGCCTTATTCATAATAGCTAGAAACTGGAAAGACCCTAGATGTCCTTCAACAGAGTAATGGATATAGAAAATGTGGTACATTTATACAGTGGAGTTTTAATCTGCTATATAAAAAACTAATGACGTCATGAAATTCCAGGGTAATAGATGGAATGAGAAATTATCATCCTGAGTGAGGTAAGTTAACCACAAAAGAACACCCATGTCATACAGTAATTTATAAGTGTTATTAGCCTAAAAGCTTGGAATACCCAAGATAAAATTCACAGACCATATGAAGCTCATGATGAAGGAAGAACAATGTGTGGATGATTAGATTCTTCTGGAAAGGGGGAACAAAATACTCAAGGAAGGAAATATCAAGACAAAGTGTGGAGGAGAGACTGAAGGAAAGGCCATCTAGAGACTGTTCTACCTGGGGATCCATGCCATATACAGTCACTAAACCCAGACACTATTGTAAATGCCAAGAATTGCATGCTAGCAGGAGCCTGATATAGCTATCTCTTGAGAGGCTCTGCCAGGACCTCACTAATACAGAGATGGAAGCTCATAGTCAACCATTGGACTGAACCCGTGTATTCTTCCAATGGAGAAGTTAGAGAATGGACTGAAGGAGCTGAAGGAGTTTGCAACCCCATAGGAAGAACAATAATATCAAGCAAACAGACCTCCCAAAACTCCGAGGAACTAAACCACCCACCAAACAGTACACATGGAGGGACCCTGTCTCCAGCTCTATATGTGTTGGGAGCCATAATGAGACAAGCTAATATTTAGCAGGTGATCATCCTGAAATGCTTGCCTCTGATTATTATATAATCTGCGATAAGTGTGTCCCATCCAGCAAGGCTGTGGCAGACTTATTTTAGGAAAGATTCCTACTGTTAATATACTTTTCCTATTATTATTAAACATATGTAACAATCACTAAGCAATAGTACACCCCTTTGGAGCAGATCTCTACAGACTCACGAAGATGCACTGTCTTGTTATGATGCTATATAGACAAATAGATGACTTATTAAGTCTAAATGATGATCCTATAAGAATTTCTAAAATTATATCAATGATTATTTAGCTCTTTTTATAGTGAGACTGGTATTATGTCCATTTCTGATAGTCAAGGCTGCAGTGAGAACTCTGCCAGTCTCCCAAGTATCATCAGATAACTTGCCCCTAAGCAAGTTATCTAAATAGTAACCAGACTTTCTCCTGCTCAGAGCACATTCCAAGAGGTTGTAAAACAATTAACCAAAGGTCACTAAAAGGGAACTCCTCATGATTTTTTTTTATAGGTGCAGGACAGAAGAGAAAATATTGCCTGGGTTTATCTATACAAAACTTCCCTAATTTCTTAGCTATAGTTTTAAAACTTCAGTGAACCTGTGGAGCTAGACAAGTGATGGATATTTAGCCAGATAATTATTCCTAATGGATATACATGTAAACATTATCTGTTGTAAACTTCTGTTTCAATTTATGATTTTGGTGTGAACTTCTGATGAACTTGTAACATGTGATCATGTACTCTGAATGATGTATAAGACAAAGGGACATTTGTTAGCGGCTTCTCTCTCTCTCTCTCTCTCTGTCTCTATCTCTATCTCTATCTCTATCTCTATCTCTATCTCTATCTCTATCTCTATCATCTCTCCTCACTCTCCTTTCTTCCTTCTTCCCTGCTTAGAATCTCTCCACTTAGAATTTTTCGTTTGTTAGAATTTTTTCCCTTTCCCCACTTAGGACCTTTCCACTTTTTCTCTTAGATAGCTTTCATAGGAATCTTTTTACACTTAGTAATAAACTATGATAACTTTTTCAAGTGTTTTTTCTTTTTATGACTTCAAACTAACAGACCTAAGTTCGAGCCTAACAGTGCCTGCAGAGAGAGTACAAGACTATGTGCCTAATTCTCTGCTGTCCCTGGGCTGAGGTGTTAAGTGCCAGAAAGAGCAGTTTCCAGACCGAGGATACCATTGGGCAGGCCAGCTATAATAACCTAACCTTAGGTCTTACCCCTGCTGATGCTCTTCCCATCCCCCTCGGCTGCCTCAAGAAGAACCACTGAGGAGAAGAAAGAAAATCACCTTCTCCTTCTATCAAACCGGGGCAGGCTCCTGGCATATATGTAGCAGAAGGTGGCCTTGTTGGGCACCAACAGAAGGAGAAGTCCTTGGTCCTGTGAGGTTCAATGCCCCAGTGTAGTAGAATGCCAGGGCAGAGAGGTGGAAGTGGTTGGGTGTGTGTGGGAACACCCTCATAGAAACAAGGGAAGGGAGGATGGAAGAGGGGTATTCAGGAGGGGAAACCATGACAGGGGATAACATTTGAAATGTAAATAAAGAAAATATCTAATGAAATAATAAAGGCAAAGGAGGGAGATACAGTCAGTAAATTGGGAATCAGTATAGTGAATGGAGTGCCAAGGGATTGAGTTCCTTCAGTTTAGTGCTGGTCAAAAGAGGCAGCTGAAACTAAAGAATAAAAAGGAGACAAACTGTTACAACAAGTTACCAAGTGAGTCTCAGGATAAGCAGAGCAATTCAGTGAGAAGCCCAGAGAGGTCAGATTGTATCAGTCAGATTGGAGAGGGGTTTGAGCCAGAACAGCAGAGTTGAACCAACCAGCCAGATTTTAGAGAGAACTAGAAAGGGTGAATTTATTTAGCAGTAAGTCTCTAAGATGACAAATACAATTGGTGAATTAAAAACACTTTTTCATTTTTTGTTTTGGATTGTCAAATAAATCATCCTGAATAGGCCCAATTTCCAAGTATACGATCATATTTGGCCAAGATTACAGATGAACAGGATACTATGATATAAGCCTCATTTTAAAAATTGACATTTTTTTCCTCTTTTTTGGCTTGCTTCTTTGAAAGGAGATTTTTTTTTAATTGGATACTTTCTTTATCTACATTTCCATTGTTTTCTTCTTTCCAAATCCCCTCTTTGGAAATCCCCAGTCTTATTCCCCTCCCCTGCTTCTATGAGGCTGCTCCCAAACCCACACACCCACTCCTGTCTTCCCGCTCTGTTATTCCCCTACACTGGGGCATCAAACACTCTCAGGCCCAAGGGCTGCTCTTCCCACTGACATCCAACAAGACTATCCTCTGCCACATATACCGCTGGAGCCATGGTTCACTCTTTGGTTGGTGGTCTGGTTTCTGGGAGCTTGGGGAGGGAGTCTGGCAGATTGACACTGTTGCTACCCCCATGGGACTGCAAATCCCTTCAGCTCTTTGAAAGCTGATTTTTAATGCAATGTGTTCTGATTATATTTTCCCTACCCAAACCCCTCTCTAGATAATGTTTTTTCCTATCCTAACCCATATCCTTTCTTTGTTTTGATTCCAAAGAGAAGCTCATGTCTGATACCAATATTGGGTCATGAATCTGTGCCAGATCTGTATATAATGTAGGTGTGAACCTCTTGCTATTTTCTAATAAGTGAACATTGTATGAAATGGACTCCTAATGACTTACACTCAAACATTAAAGTATCTCTCAACTCTCATCAGAGAACACTTTGCAGTGGATAGTTTTTGACATACGACCCATATTGACATATGACCCACCCAAAAATGTCCAAGGTGAAGAGTATAAGAAAACACTATAAGCCATAAAAGGGACATTTATATCACATACTATCCTTCCACGACTCAGGTCATTGCTATAGAAAGCTTGTAAAAGCAAGAGGTGTTGGATAATTACAAGAAAGCTTTGTCTATCATATGCCACAGGTCTTCTGCTGAGGTTTGGTCTGTTGCTATGTGTTATAATGATCAATAATGGCTCCCATGTTCTGATTGCCACCAGGAATGAGAGAATCAGCATGTAGACATGAGTGATCATGTATCCTTGCACTCCAAGCTATTCCTGATTGGGGAATAAATATGCCTCAAATCTATAGTGGGCTATAAGTGAGTTAGTTGGATTTTTTTTTTGAAAAAAAAACCAAAGGCTTGAAGGAAGAGAGAAGATGGAGAGAAGAGCAGACACTATGTGGTAGGTCATTCATGAAAACATGGCCAGGACGGCTTGCTGACTGAAGTTAAGAACACCCAGATGGAACATGGTGAGATATAACTCAGGGTTATAGATAGGGAAATAGATGCTAATAGCTTAGATGGTAGGTATCTACTCATCTTTAGAGCTGATTAAGGCTTATTTTAAACATGAATGTTGCTTATATTTTATCTGGCAACTGAATGATCAAAGTCAGGGTAAAAACCCCTGATTGAGATTAAATATTCACTACAGCATCATCTGTACATATAGACTCACAGGATTTGTGACAATATGTAAAATCCATATACAAGCTCAAGACAGAGAAAATCTCAGCATTGAGAAGACAGATGACCATGGAGTTCCAGTCATATCTGGGGCGCTATTAGCAATTGATCCTGT